TTCTCACCCTCTTATATACTCGTTCTCTCTCCTTCTTCATCTCTCTCTCTCTCTCTAAACTAGCTAATGCATATTTTCCCCATCTTCCTCTTCCCCTCTTTCTCCTTCTCCCTGTATCCCCCCCTCCTCTCTCTCTCTCTCTCTCTCTCTCTGCCGTTTTCACTTTCACCTTCATCTGAAGCCTTCCTGCCTTCCTTCCTTCTTTCCACTCCTTTCTTTCTTCCATCCTTCCTCTTTTTCCGCTCTTCCCCTTCCTTCTTTCCTCCATTCCTTCCTCCTCCCTTCCTTTTTTCTCCTCCTTTCCTTCCTCCCATCCCTCCCTTTTTCCACACCTCCCTCCTTTTCTTTCATTCTTTCTCCTTTCCTTCCTTCCTTCCACTCCTCTCCCACCCCTTCTTTCCATTCCTTCTTTCCCCCCCATTCCTCCCTTGAATTCCCCTTCCCTTCTTTTCTTCCTTCCCTCCCTCCCTCCTTTCCTTTCCTTTCTTTCTTCCTCCCTCCCTCCTTTCCTTTCTTTCTTTTTCCTCCCTCCTTTCCTTTCTCCTCCCTCCTTTCCCTTCCTCCCTCCTCCTCCCCCCCTTTCTTCCTTCCTCCTCCCTCCTCCCCCCCTTTCTTTCTTTCTTCCTCCTCCCTCCTTTCCTTCCTTCCTTCCTTCCTCCCCCCCTTTCTTTCCTTCCTCCCCTCCTTTCCTTCCTTCCTCCCCTCCCTCCTCCCCCCCTTTCTTTCTTCTTCCTCCCTCCCTCCCTCCTTTCCATCCTTCCTCCTCCCCCCTTTCCTTCCTTCCTCCCTCCCTCCTCCCTCCTTTCTTCCTTCCTCCCTCCCTCCTCCCCCCCCTTTTCTTTCTTCTTCCTTCTCCCTCCTTTTCCCTTCCTTCCTTCCTCCTTCCTCCTTCCTTCCTTTCCTAACCCTCCCTCGCGGGCGACAAAAAGTCGACCGAAATCTTGCCTAAAGCAGTTTCGATCTCGACGTCAAGAGAAGCAAGTCCCTCTCGACATCTCACTCTCGCTCCTTCTACCTTCGTCTTCTCCACACACTCCGCCAGTCTGGAGAAGAGAGAGTAATTTTAGATAGACAGATAGATGATAGATAGATAGATTGAGTCATTTGCGATAGATAGATAGATAGATTGAGTCATTTTCGATAGATAGATAGATAGAAGTGTAGATGATAGATTAGAGTCATTTTAGATATAGATAGATAGAGTAGATAGATCAGATAGATAGATAGATAGTAGAGTCATTTTAGATAGATAGATAGATTGAGTCCATTTTAGATAGATATAGATAGATAGATTGATAGTCATTTTAGATAGATAGATAGATAGATAGATTGAGTCATTTTAGATAGATAAATAGATTGAGTCATTTTAGATAGATAGATAGATTGAGTCATTTTAGATAGATAGATAGATAGATTGAGTCATTTTAGATAGATAGATAGATAGATAGAGTCATTTTAGATATAGATAGACTAGATTAGACATTTTAGATAGATAGATAGATAGATAGATTGAGTCTTTTTAGATAGATAAGATAGATAGATGAGTCATTTTAGATAGATAGATAGAAGATCATTTTAAGATAGATTAGATTGAGTCATTTTTAGATAGATAGATAAGATTGAGTCATTTTAGTATAGATAGATAGATAGAGTCATTTTAAGATAGATAGAGTAGATTGAGATCATTTTAGATAGATATGATAGATAAGTCATTTTAGATAGATAGATAGATTGAGATTTTTAGATAGATAGATAGATTGAGTCATTTTAGATAGATAGATAGATAGATAGTCATTTTTAGATAGATATAGATTGAGTCATTTTTAGATAGATAGATAGATAAGTCATTTTAGATTAGATTAGATAGATAGAGTCATTTTAGATAGATAGATAGATAGATTGAGTCATTTTAGATAGATAAATAGATTGAGTCATTTTAGATAGATAGATAGAATAGATTAGAGTCATTTTAGACTAGATAAATAGATAGAGATAGATTGATAGTAGATTGAGTCATTTTAGATAGAGATTAGATAGTCATTTTATAGATAGATAGTCATTTTAGACAGATAGATAGAAAGTCATTTTAGATAGATAGATAGATAGAGTCATTTTAGATAGATGAGATAGATAGACGATAGATAGATAATAGATTAGATTTAGATAGCATTTTAGATAGATAGATAGATAGTCATTTTAGATAGATAGATAGATTGATAGATAGATTAGATCAGTCATTTTAGATAGATAGATATAGATTTAGATAGATCATTTTAGTCATTTTAGATAGATAGATAGATAGAGTCATTTTAGATAGATAGATAGAGTCATTTTAGATAGATAGATAAATAGATAGAGTCATTTTAGATAGATAGATAAATAGATAGAGTCATTTTAGATAGATAGATAGATAGAGTCATTTTAGATAGATAGATAGATAGAGTCATTTTAGATAGATAGATAGATAGATGAGTCATTTTAGATAGATAGATAGATTGATTGAGTCATTTTAGATAGATAGATAGATAGATTGAGTCATTTTAGATAGAGATTGAGTCATTTTAGATAGTATAGATAGATAGAGTCATTTTAGATAGATAAATAGATTGAGTCATTTTAGATAGATAGATAGATAGATTGAGTCATTTTAGATAGATAGATAGATAAATAGATTGAGTCATTTTAGATAGATAGATAAATAGATAGTCATTTTAGATAGATAGATAGAGTCATTTTAGATAGATAGATAGATAGAATAGATGAGTCATTTAGATAGATAGATAGATAGAGAGTCATTTTAGATAGATAGATAGAGTCATTTTAGATAGATAGATAGATAGATTGAGTCATTTTAGATAGATAGATTGAGTCATTTTAGATAGATAGATAGATAGTCATTTTAGATAGATAGATAAATAGATAGTCTTTTTAGTTAGATAGAGTCATTTTAGATAGATAGATAGATTGATAGATTGAGTCAAGATAGCATTTTAGATAGATAGATAGATTTCATTTTAGATAGATGAGATAGATAGTCATGATAGATAGATCAGATTCATTTTAGACAGATAATAGATAGTTATTTTAGATAGATAGATAAATAGATTGAGTCATTTTAGATAGATAGATGGATAGATTGAGTCATTTAGACAGATAATAGATAGTAATTTTAGATAGATAGATAAGAGTCATTTTAGATAGATAGAGTCATTCTAGATAGATTTTAGATAGACAGATAGTCATTTAAGATAGATAGATAGATAGTCATTTATAGATAGATAAGAGTCATTTTAGATAGATAGATAGAGATAGATAGATAGAGTCATTTTAGATAGATAGATACGAGATCCAGATAGATTATAGATAGATTGAGCCATTTTAGATAGATAGATAAGACTTTTTAGATACATAGATAGATAGTCATTTTAGATAGACAGATAGAGAGTGAGAGAGAGAGAGGGGGTGGGTAGGTTGTCTCCCACACACAGTCAGTCTGGAGAAGAGAGAGTCATTTTAGAGAGAGAGAGAGAGAGAGAGAGAGAGAGAGAGAGAGAGAGAGAGAGAGAGAGAGAGAGAGAGAGAGAGAGAGAGAGAGAGAGAGAGACAGAGAGAGAGAGAGGGGGAGGTCGTCTTTCCCACACACTCAGTCAGTCTTGAGAAGAGAGAGTCATTTTAGATACATAGAGATAGATAGATAGACAGATAGAGAGAGGGAGAGAGGGAGAGGAGGAAAGGAGAGGAGAGAGAGGGAGGGAGAAATAGAGAAAGAAAGAGAGAGAGAGAGAGAGAAAGAGAGAGAGAGAGAGGAGAGAGAGAGAGAGAGAGAGAGAGAGAGAGAGAGAGAGAGAGAGAGAGAGAGAGAGAGAGAGAAGAGAGAGAGAGAGAGAGAGAGAGAGAGAGAGAGAGAGGAGAGAGAACCATAAAGAAAATGAGAAAGAGAAAGAGAAAGAGAAAAAGAGACAGAGAAGGAGAAAGAGAGCAAAATACACACACGACACGAAGTGAAAGAAGGAAGGAAGGAAGGAAATAAAACGAAAAGAAAAAAACTTACTCCTTAAACAGCAGTTCCTGGAGCTTCTCAGCATCAACGAAGCCTGTTTTAGTTTTTATCTTAAAGAACAAACTTTCATCACGAATCACCTGTGCAAATAATGTTGGAAAATATGTTAGAAAAATAATCATAAATATATATATATATATAATATATATATATATATATATATATATAATATATATATATATATATATATATATATATATATATATATATATATACGTGTGAGTGTGTGTGTCCGTACAATTATTCATTCGATCATAAGCATTTTCAGCTCATTATTTACCATGTCTCTCTATTGGTCCTCTGTGTGTCATGTCAAACCGCTGTCCCTTATTCTATATTTGTTGGACAAGTAAAAACCTCCTAGTGTCATCCCTCTCTGGTGCTCTGTGTCCTAGTGTCATGCAAAAATTCCTTCGTCCTCTGAAAGTCATGCAAAAAATCCTTCGTTCTCTGAATGTCAAGCAAAAAGTCTTTTTGTTCTGTTATCCAAAAAGAAAAAAATCCTTTTGCTCAAGCTATGCGAAAACCCCTCTTGCCGTCCACTATGTCGAACGCAGCGCCGTCTCATGTCCTCAGTCCTCCTAGGTAAAAACTATCTGCTATCCCTTTAGTCCTCCTCCCACTCGCCCGCTCGCCCGCCCACTCGAAGTCGTCCTCCAGGCACTTCAAGGCGAGGACCACGATCACGTCGAAGTCCGTCTTGGGCTTCACCGAAAGGCCCTCGTAGGCGCTGCCGGAGTGCATGACGTCAGCACCAGCGAGAAAGTTCTGATTGTGGAAGGTCTTCTGCAGGCGGTCGGCGAAGTCACAGACGGTCTGTAGGAGGAAGGGCAGATGGGAAGGCGCTTGGGGTAAGGGGGGGGGAATTGGGAGGGGAGGGAGGGAGAAGAAGAGGGGAGGGAGAAGGAGGGAGGGAGGGAGGGAGAAGGAGGGAGGGAGGGAGGGAGGAGGAGGGAGGGAGGGAGGGAGGGGGAGAAGGAGGGAGGGAGGGAGGGAGAAGGAGGGAGGGAGGGAGGAGGAGGGAGGGAGGGAGGGAGGGAGGGAGGGAGGGAGGGAGGGAGAAGGAGGAGGGAGAAGGAGGGAGGGAGGGAGAAGGAGGGAGGGAGGGAAGGAAAGGAGGAGGGAGAAGGGAGGAGGGAGAGGGAGGGAGGGAGGGGAGGGGAAGGAGGGAGAGGGAGGGAGGAGAAGGAGAGGGAGGGAGGGGAGAGAGAGAGAAGGAGAGGGAGAAAGGAGGGAGGAGGGAGAGAGGGCGGGGAGGGGAGGAGGGAGATAGAATTGATAGATAAATAGATAGAAGAGAGAGACACAAAGCGAGCGAGAGAGAACTCACGCCTCGGCATTCCTTTTTACTGTCTGTTTCACAACTCCTGCGTCAACTCTATCCAGGATCATCAACTTGCCACAACGTCATTCTGTATAAAAAGAAACATTTTTGGATAATAACAAAGAAGGGAAGACTAGGCGGGCGAGTAACAAGAGGGAGATAGATATGGATAGACATACAGAGAGAATCTAGTCATTGTAACATCAATAATTTTCTATTACCATTCTTTAGAACAATATATAATTGAAAAATGCATGAGAGGGAGAGAGAAAGAGAGAAAGAAAGAGAGAGAGAGAGAGAGAGAGAGAGAGAGAATTTCAACTCGCACAAAACAATTAAATGACTTACAAGGTGCCTAGGAACCGGCTCGGAAACGCCACCTGCTGCGTCAACTCTATGCGGGATCAACTTGGCAAAAAAGTCATTCTGTATAAAAAGAAAACATTTTTGGATAATAACAAAGAAGGGAAGACTAGGCGGGCGAGTAACGAGAGGGAGATAGATATGGATAGACATACAGAGAGAATCTAGTCATTGTAACATCAATAATTTTCTATTACCATTCTTTAGAACAAAAATATATAATTGAAAAATGCATGAGAGGGAGAGAGAGAGAGAGAGAGAGAGAGAGAGAGAGAGAGAGAGAGAGAGAGAGAGAGAGAGAGAGAGAGAGAGAGAGAGAGAGAGAGAGAGAGAGTATCTCAACTCGCACAAAACAATTAAATGAGGGAGGGAGGGAGAGGGAGGAGATAAATTGATAGATAAATAGATAGAGAGAGAGAAACACACACAAAGCGAGGGAGAGAGAACTCACCTCTGCATTCCTTTTTACATTCTGTTTCACTCCTGCGTCAACTCTATGCGGGATCAACTTGGCAAAAAAGTCATTCTGTATAAAAAGAAAAGAAACATTTTTGGATAATAACAAAGAAGGGAAGACTAGGCGGACGAGTAACGAGAGGGAGATAGATATGGATAGACATACAGAGAGAATCTAGTCATTGTAACATCAATAATTTTCTATTACCATTCTTTAGAACAATATATAATTGAAAAATGCATGAGAGGGAAGAGAGAGAGAGAGAGAGAGAGGAGAGAGAGAGAGAGAGAGAGAGAGAGAGAGAGAGAGAGAGAGAGAGAGAGAGAGAGAGGAGAAGAGAGAGAAGAGAGAAATTTTCAACTCGCACAAACAATTAAATGAACTTACAAGGTGCCGTAGGAACCGGCTCGGAAACGCCAACGCCACCTGCTGAAAAAAAAAAAAAAAAAAAAAAAAAAATGAAAAGAAACATTATGAGTGGGACGGATTTTGATCAGATGCAGCATCTGTTATTCTTTATCACTAGAAAATACACTTTATAATATAGGTCCTGAGGCTTGTAGTTTTTTTCTGTTTTTCTTTATTTGTGTATGTGTGAGTACGTACGTGTGTGCGTATTCGTAAACGCCTCCCCCCCCGTTCCCCCGTTTTCGATACACGACTCCTGTGATTATTAGTTCTCCATGTTTTCGCATCCAATGGAAGACACGAAATTGTGATTTTAAATCTGATCCTCCATCTTTTTCCTTCTTATTCCGGTGAAAAAAAGGTTAATCTTTGTTATTGGCATCCTCGCAGCTTACCCTCTTCCCATTCAGTGTTTTTGGACTTCGGAGGTATTTTCTCCCCTCCAGTTATCAGTTTCGTGTACCGTCGTTGTCAAGCTTATTTGGTGAAGACGAGGCGGGGCGACCCGTAGACTTTTACGCGCATCGAGAGAGAGAGAGAGAGAGAGAGAGAGAGAGAGAGAGAGAGAGAGAGAGAGGAGAGAGAGAGAGAGAGAGAGAGAGAGAGCAGAGAGAGTGAGAGTGAGAGAGAGAGATAGAGAGAGACAGGAAAAAGAAGGAGAGAGAGAGAGAGAGAGAGAGAGAGAGAGAGAGAGAGAGAGAGAGAGAGAGAGAGAGAGAGAGAGAGAGAGAGAGAGAGAGAGAGAGAGAGACCAAGATTGAGGAATAATAGAACCACGAATAAATTAATAATCACCCTAGATTCAATTTATGCAATTATAATCCGGGGCACGGATTCACTAACACACTTCCGGTTCTTAGTTTAACAATGAAAAATAAATAAATAAACTGGACTAATGATGAAAAATAAATAAATAAATAAACTGGACTAATATATGAATAATATCTATTAATAATATATCAATAAATGTGTTTGCATTGGTTCCTATCTATACAGTAAATATATATCCCACATGATGGATATGATCATATAAATATATTCATTTTTTTCACATGTCCTTAAATAGTGTTATAGCGGCGATTTTTTTTTTTTTTTTTTTTTTTTTTTTTTTTAATCTCGCTGTGTCTAGTTTTGTTTACATGTTACGTGATTGGCCGAAGGAACCTAAAAGATTATGTAAAGCGCTCGCTGGTTGGTTGAATCGCTTTACTAGAGCCCTCTGTCGGCTGTCATTAGAATGAGTCGATTTACGATTGTAACTCAGCTGATCCAAATTACCATTTCTTCGTGAATCCCGCTTTGCCATCACTCGTAAATGCAATGGTAAATGACCGCTGGTAAATGCGTTACGATCGTATGTTAGTGAATCCGGTCTCACCAGATAAGAAGTGGCCGTTAATTAGGTAATAAGAATTAACGTCCGCAAAAACCCATTTTTTTCAGGGACTCTGCGAATTCTTCCTCCCTTTCCTTAACTTACGAACTTGGCCCTTATATATGGTTGACTATTTCCGGAATCACTCCATAGTAAAGAATATTGTGCTTCGATGAATGTATAAAACAGTTTCCTTAAGCATGCGTGTCTATCTGTACCTTGACATGGATATCCATAGGTTGAAAGAAAAGAAAGAAAGAAGAAAAATTACAGGCGTGTGAATTGTGTGTTAAGAGAATCAGAAAAAAAAAAAAAATCAGGGACACGCTATCATATATTATCATAAAATAAATAACCACTAACCGCTTCTTTGCATTTTCATCGGTAATTCCGCTTTTTTGCAGAACACCTGTGCACCCTTCCGTGCCGCCGTGAAGTAGGTGACTGAACTGGACACCTCGGCAATTGTCCGTTTTCTAGTAGCGCTGTGGGGACAGGTTGCCACTAACGAATTTCGGTGCACTGTTATTTTTGGATGTGGAAGAAAGAGAAATATTAAGAAATACTGTAAAAAAAAAAAAAAAAAAAAAAAAAAAAAAAAAAAAAAAAAAAAAAAAAAAAAAAAAAAAAAAAGGAAAAACAAAGAAAGAAAGAAAAAAAAAAAGAAAAGAAAAAGAAATGGGGGGATGGGAATATTAAGAAATTTGAAGGAAAAAATTAAATGGGTGGGTTGTGTCCTTGGGGGGGGTTAAGAAATGTCGAAAATCAAGAGGTGAAAGAAATGAAGAAATGGGTGGAAATCAAGAAGGGGGGGGGGGGCAAGGAAGGAATCAGAGGAATGAAAAGGAAAGAGAGAAAGTAAATAAGCAGAAAGAAAGAGACAGAATGAAGGAAGAGGGAAGCAAATTGAAGGAAAATGAGGAAAAAGGAAAAGGAATAATAATAATAAGAAGAAAAAGGGAGAAGGAAAAAAAGGAATACAGAGAGGAAAAATAGGAAGCAGAGAGCAAAGAAATAATGACAGGAAAACAGAAGGAAAGAGAATGAAAGCATAAAAAAAATCACTCACAGTTTGAGAACGAATAAGAAAAAAAATATCTTATGAATTCCTTATTATGAATTATTATGAAATTAT